TCAGGTGTACTTGGCTGGTGCCTTAGCTGCTTAAGCCACAGGCGCTGAGCCCATTCAGTTTTTCTAATGCTAAGCAAACTTAGCTAATAACTAAAAATTCCCATGGCTGATTTTACAGAAGTAAACTGCATTTTACCATAGCATTTGGGAGTGTGTTTTAGGTACATTTTGCCACCTGTAATCACTTCACATGCTGTAAACCAGTATCCAACTTTGTTTAAAACTATAAAACAAAGCTTGAATCAGAAGGCAAAAGTAACGAACTAAGGCCATCAATAAGGTTTGTGTGATAAGGGCAGCCAGGATTCTACAGTGCTAGTCAGTGTACTTATGCAATCTGAAATGATTATAAAGGCATGGCTCTTGTAGCTCAGTGGCTAGGGCGTCAGCCACATACACCGGAGCTGGCAGGTTTGAAGCCAGCCCAAGCCTACCAAACAACGACAACTACAATAACAACAAACAAACAAATGAACAAAATTATTATAAAGCTCATATCAACCAAGTGGACCCTTTGAGATAAAAATACTTAAAAATGCTTTCTATCACGTCCAAAGTTATCTCCTACTACGTTCTCTTTTTTTTTTTTTTTTTGAGACAGAGCCTTAAGCTGTTGCCCTAGGTAGAGTGCCGCGGCATCACAGCTCACAGCAACCTCCAATTCCTGGGCTCAAGTGATTCTCCTGCCTCTGCCTCCCAAGTAGCTGGGACCACAGGCACTGGCCACAAGCACAGTTATTTTTTGGTTGCAGCTGTCATTGTTGTTTTGGCGGGCTGGGCTGGATTCAAACCTGCCAGCTCAGGTGTCATGTGGCTAGAGCCTTAGCCGCTTGAGCCACAGGCACTGCTGAACCTACTATGTTCTCTTTTTGTGAAAACAAGTCACACAAAAAAATGTTCTTTCTTGACTTGAACCTTAAATGTAACCAGACTGAATTTTTCTTAAGCCAGGAAAAGATAATCTCCCAACATGGGATTCTAGTAAAAAGACTGTGTGAAAAAAAAATCACATCTCATGACCAGTTAACTGGATCATTCTAGCAAACTAAAATGATATTAGTCATAGATATCTTTTCCAAAGATACCAATCAGAATGGGCTTTAGAAGTTAAAAAACGGCTCAGCGCCTATAGCTCAAGCGGCTAAGGCGCCAGCCACATACACCTA